TAGGTTTAATTTCCATGATTAATTAGGTAGATTTCACATTAGAATCGAGTTTTATGTCCATGAATCTTACCTCCAAGTGATTTCCCTTGAATCCCTCTTCAATCCCCTTCAAAAATCTCCAAAAACACTCAACAATGGAGGAAATAAACCCCAAAATCGCGGACAAGACGACAATTTAAATATTCTGCCTAGGCCTAAAGCCTTCTTTGCGAACGCGGTCAAAGCCTCGCGTTCGCGAAGCACAAAATAACTTTGACAAAAATTCCTCTTTTGCGATCGCGACCTACCCATCGCGAACGCGATGCTTCCTCAGACTAACGTTTCGCGATCGCGTTGCCCCTCTCGCGAACGCGATGAATAAACTCCTCTAAAGCTCAGCTGCCCATTTTCTTCTATGCGAACGCGACACCACCCCGCGAACGCGATGCACAAATACTCAGCCTTTCGCGAACGCGGAGCCTTCCTCGCAAACGTGAAGGCTTAAATCCCAGCTTCCTCAACTGAGCCTTCGCGAACGCGAGGACCCACTCGCGAACGCGAAGGTCATTTCTCTGCAGCACTGACCTGCAATTTTCTGCAACTCCAAACATCATGAAATGGTCCGGTTGACCACCCGAAACTCACCCGAGGCCCCCAGTACCTCAACCAAACATACCAACATATCCCATAACCTCATTCAAACTTGTTCCAACCTTCGGAACGCTCAAAACAATATCCAAACACAAAAATCACATCGGATTCAAGCCTAAGAATTTCAAGAACTTCCAAATTACGCTTTTGATAAAAAAAAAAAAAAACAACCAAACCACATCCGAATGACCTGAAATTTTGCACACACATCCCAAATAACACCACGGAACTACTGCAACTCTCGGAATTCCATTCTGACATCTATATCAAAATATCACCTATTAACCGAAAATCGCCAAAAATCCAATTTCGCCAATTCAAGCCTAAATCTACTCCGGACCTCCAAAACTCATTCCGATCACGCTTCTAAGTCCCAAATCATCTCCCGAAGCTAATCAGACCATCGGAACTCACATCCGAACCCTCTAACACATAAGTTAACATCGTTTGACTTTTCCAACTTAAGCTTCCTTAAAAGAGACTAAGTGTCTCAAACCTTACCAAATCTTTTCCGAACCCGAGCTAACCAACCAGATCACGTATAGAACCCATAGATAAAGCAATAAGAAGCAGAAATGAGGAAAGCAGAGAGGTAACTCATGAGACAACTGGCCGGGTCGTCACAGTATATCAACGGGGTTGTTGTGGAGTGATAAGTACTTTTTCATCCTTAATCACAGGTTTCGGGTTCGAATCCCTGGGTATGGAGTCGCTTTTGTTAGGGAGCGTTTTACCCCCAATGTGGGACTTCCCGCTGCGAATCTGGATTTAGTCGGGTTCCGTACCGGACACCCGGCGGAAACAAAAAAAAAAAAAAACTTGTTGTGCTAGTAGGTTATTTTGTCCAGCCAATTCAATGTGTCTTATGTTGGTTAGCTCCTTACTATTATGCACAATTTAGTTAAACTTTGTGTTAATTACCTTTAGTGTGAAGTATAGTGCCAAATCTAAGTAATATTTCAGTATATTGACCAAAAGAAAAGGACAACAGTACTTGTTCCTTGCATTAAAATTTCAAAGCTCGCCAAAAAATGCTACTCAAAGGGATTATCTGTTCCATTCAAAAAGTTATTTTTCAAACATTAAAGATTAGAGGGGTTCAATGAATTATAAACTTTACTCTTAAAAAAATAAATGCATCACACTTTTTCCTTTCATTCGCTAAAAGAATTGATATGGATACACTATAGATTTAGTTTTTCCTGGAACTTTGCCCTCTTGCAAATCTATTACTTACTGCAAAAGTGTATACTTCGACTAGAGGTGTTAAATGGACGGGTTCAGTCGATTTTGAGCGGGCCAAAGCGGGTTGAGTTAGTATGACCCGCTCAAAAATTACTTGGGCTAAAATGGGTTGGATCAAAATGAGCAAAAATTTGGATCATAGCTCAATTCGTCCAACTTTTATCAAGTTTTATTTCATATGTGTTATTTTCTTATGAATTGTATAACTACTAAATATTTTTTTTTTCCTTTTTGTTATGGTCATATACCACATATCAAACAAAACAAAAAATATTTCTAAGATATTTTGGCAAAGTTATCATATCACTTCTAGCTCGTACCAAAAATTATTTACATTTAATAGCCGAAAATTCTGTATATTATATACAAAAATTATATAACAAAATATATATTTTTTGACTATTATTTTAAGAGTGACTATATAATATTATTTTTCTTATTAAGGAAGGATGAGAGAAATCCAGAAACTTTTTATGAAAAGGACAACAAATGACCGATATCGCAGGAACTATGGTCCCTCCTTATCTCCAGTACCACGGATATACCTATTGGCTATTATATTTTTGGGTAGGTTTGGAGAAACAGTCTCTATGCCCCTTGGGTAGGGGTAAGGTCTATATACATATTACCCTCCTCAGATCCTATTTGTAGAATTATACTGGGCCGTTGTTGGTAGGTTTGGAGAAATTTTCGTCAAAATAGCACGGTATAACCAGTTTTCGGACTGGTCAATCAAAAATAGCCACCGTTTACGAAGTCAATGAAAAATAGCCACTATTTTGCTGCAACAGAGACCGGTCCCGCATAATATACGGGAGTTCGGTGCATCTGTGTACGAACTCCAGCATATTATGCTGGACCGGTATACTTTGCTGACTCCTGTATAATATACGGGAGACTGGAGCACCGGTACTCCAAACTCCAGTATATTATACTGAACATTTATACTTGCTGAAACTCCCGTATATTATGCTGGAGTTCTAGTGTACTCATGCTGGAACTCCAACATATTATGCTGGAGTTCCAGCATAGTTATCTTGGAACTCCCGTATAATATGCTGGAGTTCAAGCATACTTATGCTGGAACTCCAGTATAATATACGAACATATTTTTCGGGTTTTGAACAGTGTTTTCGCTCAGATTTATCTTTACATGAAAAGTGGCTAAATTTCGATTACTTTTGAAACTATGACTATTTTTGAATGACCAGTTGTAAATCTGGCTATTTTTAAATTTCTCCCGAAATTTTCTGCATTATAAATAAACATCAATCCGTCTTAATTTATGTGACACTATTTAACAAGATAGAATTTTTAAAAAAGAAAAAATTATTAGAATTATGATCTAAAATAAGTTTAAAATTTATGTGATTATAAATAAACTAAATTAAGAAGTTTAAAAATAAATTATTTTAAATATATAAAGTTATTCTTTTTTTTTAAAACAGACAATTAAAGAAAATGTCACGTGACTTAGGACTGGGGATTATCATAAATCGCAATCTTCTTTTCTTTTTTTCTTTGATTTTTCTAATTCTTGATTTCTGCACCAAGTAAAGGGGTCATTACTATTTGCCTTTATTAATTCCACCATGTTACACATGGAACAAAGTCAACAACCCCAGTGACCTAATTCACACAATCTTTAAGACTACTTGTTTTTTAACGGAAAATACCAAAGATATTTCAAATAAATAATATTATTCCCTGTCAATATTATATTTTCTCCGGTTCACTTTAAGTGATTTTTTGATTTTTTTTTTTATGGTCCATAATGTTTATTTTTCAGATATCAAGAAGGAATTAACTTCTTCTTTCTAAAGTTGCCCTTGGAGCAAAAAGACTAAGAGTAATTTGTTATATTTTCGATGAGCAAATTAAGGTTAATATGGTTAATTTCATTGTTAATTAATGATAAAAGGTAAATTTCTTAATATGTATGAAAAGAACCCAAAAAGTCATTTAAAGTGGGCCAACTGGAGTATTTCTTAAAGGTTTTTACTCGTTCCACTACTAGAAATTCGATAAAATCGACCACGATTAAACCGGCCAAAGTTGGCCGGTTTTTCAAAATATTTATTTTTTAATTTTTTTTTACAAAACCGACCAAACACAAAAATACGGGAAACTATTTTTGAGTCCCGCAAAATTTATTTTTCAAGAAACCGATCAACTTTGGTCGGTTTTTCATTTAAAATAAATTAAAATTAATATTAAAAATATCGACCAAAATTGGTTAGTTAATTCGACCGGTCATTTTAAAAAATCGACTGAATTTGGCAGGTAATTTTATTTTTTAATAAAATCGACCAACTTTGGCCAGTTATTTTCGTGCGAAAATACAATTAAAGAGTATAAATGAAATAAAAGACAGTCTTAAAACAAAATGCATCAATGATCTAGTGGTAGAATAGTATTCTGCCAAAGTACAGACCCCGGTTTGATTCCCAGATGGTGCATTTTTTAATAACATAATTAAAATACCGACCAACTTTGGTCGATTTTTTCGGAATTTTTTTTTTGAATTTAATTGACCGACCAAAGTTTGTCGGTAATTTCCGACCAACTTTGATCGGTATGCCTTTCCGACCTTTAAAATACCGGTCACACGTTAATGTCGCGTTTTGGATGGTTATTAGCTATTACCGACCAATTTTGATCGATTTCTTTAGACAATTTTTCCCGAATTTCTAGTAGTGTTCATTGCGAAAACCATTTAATATTTAATTGTAAAAGTATTTATTTAAATTATTCTTAAGCATCTTAATTAATTAATACTATACTAATGTCATAATAACGATAGATTTCAAACAAGGAAAAATGTGATAAATAATTTTTGTATAGCGTGGGGGTAAGGTCAATATGTACATTATCCTCATCAAACCCGATTATGCGGGATTACGACTAGTATGTTGATATTGTAATTCATCTATAACGTCAATTATTTTAAAACATATTAATTTCGCCCAAGCTGTTATAATCCGATTACTTATAAGGTAGGGTCAACGCTCGCCTCCCCTAATACCTAAACTAGTAATATTTGGGACCAAAGAGAGCACAGTAATAAATATATGAATAATAAATTATACTTACACTAATTTAGAAGAAGACTTGTATTTATTAAAGGAGAGGTAAGTTAGGTAACACAACATAAATAAGACACAAAAAACTTGATCAAACAATTAGAAGGAAAAAAAAAAAAGGCAAATGGTTTCTTCTTCTTCAGCTCCATCTTTGCAGGTGAAAATTCCGGCGACCGGAGAAGGAAAACTGACGATAAACGTGAAGTCGCCGACGTCGGAGATGTATGCAGAGGTGAAACAAGCAGATAAAGTAAAAGATTTGGAAAAAGTGATTAAAAAAGCATGGGGAGATGATTATTTGGATCTTTATTACAAATCAATTAAAATGAAAAGTGATCAGCCTTTATCTTTTTATAATTTAAGAGATGGTTCTATTGTTAGAGTTTCTCTTCTTGCTGAACCTCCACATGAATCTGTAAGTCCATTTTCCTCTAGCTAAAATTATTTTTTTTTTCCTTTGAAAATTCTTGTATTTTGAGAAATTAATTAGATTTTACCGTCAAGGGCTCATCTTTATTCCGACGTTCGGGTTCGAGCCTGGGTATGGAGTTGTCTTTGTCACGGAGCGCTTTACCCTCAATGTGGAACTTTCCGGCGCGAATCCTGATTTAGTCAGGTCCTAATGCGGGTACCGAACACTGGGTGGGAAACCAAAAAGAATTAATTAGATTTTAATTTAAAATGGAAAACTAAATTCAGAAATTAATTGATTGGAAATTAAATTAGAGTTACTGATTGAATATGCACTATCGTTATCTTATCCAGCTAATTACTTGCTGCTTCTTTTTTGTGGGGTCTTTAAATTGTCAGTAGATTTTAATATTGAATAAATAATAGGATAAATATCTTTTTATATTTCTAAAAGTGCATATGATCTGTATTTTGAATTTTTGATATTCTTAATTTTATTTTGTAAGTGAATTGATAAACTAAGTTATAAATTTGACCCTTTTAGAAAATGAAATACATTATCGAGTTTATCTACTGACTTTTAGCTGGACAAGAGTGTGATTTTACTTTTTTTTTTTTTCCACTTAATATACAATTCTCTACCAGCCATAATTTTTTCTACAGAGACATTGACAATATTTACGATTTAATTTTGTTTCCTTTTAGCATTTAGGGTTAGATTGCAATAATATTCGTCGTGAATGCTTCCAGCGATAGAATATTCTATCAGTTGAAGGAATAAGCTTCGTCGTCTTGAGCCTAGGGTCTTACAGAAATAGTCTCTATCTTTCGTACAGGGGTAATGTCTGCTTATATTCTACCCTTTCAGACCCCACATATGAAATTTTACTGAATTGTTATTATAGTTGAAGGAATGAGCTATTATATTCTTATATGATCTAGGTAATTGTTATCTCATGAGTTAGCTTTATATAATTAATCTTCTGCTTCTTTACATGATAGTTGTATCATCCCATCCTAAATATCGAGAACTAGGCATTTTAAAAGGTGTTAGAATTAGGGATCGTTTGGTATGGTGTATAAGAATAGAACTGAATATGGTGTATTAATAATGCTAAGATTAGTATTAGTTATGCTGACAGTTATGTTGAAATTATTTCTTACTAACTATTTGGTTAGTGTATTAAAAATAAAATGTATTGCATAAGTTTTTTTAAAATTTGTTTACAAAAATACCCTTGGACGGTTTGGAAAAGGTTTTGAAAGAGTAGTTTTGTCTTTCTACATGCTTATCTATGTATTAAAAATTATGATATTATTAATCTCATGATTTGCTATGTATAAAAATAATACTGAATAGAGTGTATAACTAATATTAGTTATACATAGGTTGAAAAACAATATCAAACAACGGATTGTCAAAGCTAATATATATAGTATTAGTTTTCTTAAGACATCCAAACAAGCTCTTAATGCTTTATATAGTGGTAGAAAGATTGAACTGTTGTTTTTTATATTGTCTTATATCTTTAGTTTTTTCTTTTAACTTCTGAAATTAAATTAAACCCAAGATCAACTGTTTTTACATTATTAGCTTTAAAAAAAGTCGGATTAAATTTAATCACGGCTTGCGCATAGAGCTTGACACTGGAGCGTTACATGTACAACATGTTTTTGATTGAAACAACGAGAAATACTATTATTTTCTACGCAAAAAACCAAAAACTAAAAACAAAATATTAAAATTAAAAAACAAGAACTAACATCGGTATCAACGGCATTTAATGACTGTCGATATGTATTAATGATTGTATCATACATCCGTGAATTCCAGCTCATTGTTTCAAGTGCATTTTATTCAGAAAAATATCTTGTTTAGTGGTTATTTCTTAAATTTCTCAACTTTGGAATTAGCAAGTTTGACCAAATGTACTTTGACTATAGATCACTCTTTTGGATTTAGTAATTACCATGTGTTGAATTTTTTTTGGTTCCCAACCCACTGTCCGGTATCTGTATTGGGGCTCGACTAAATTTAAATTTTCATCTAGAAGTCCCATATTAGGAGGTAAAGCGTTCCATATTAAAAACGACTTTATACTCAAGTCTCGAATCCGACACCTGGATGAATAACCACTTACCGCTCCATCGTTAACCCTTTGTCCATGTGTTGATTTTTCTTACTTATTTAATCTTGGTTTCTTGAAAATGCAGAAATCTTCACGTGAAAACAAGAAACATGCCAAATTACAATTGGAAAGGAGGAGCAGCACCAGCACCAACTCTATTAATGGTGGAAATGGCTGTGGCAACGTTGTGTTTCATATGGCTAAGATGTTATCTCAATTCTGCTCTTCCATTTTTCCCAGCCATTAATTACTACAATTGATTGAGGAAGAAGATTTATATAGTACTATTACTTAGTTCCTAAAGTACGAGTTAGGGAAATGGAGCGCCCTTTTATTAAGAAATAGACAACTTTAATTTCGAGACGTCAAGAAAATCGAGCTAATATGTCATCGTTAAAGTTGACATAGCTTAATAAATACTATCAATAAATTTAAACACCCTGAAATTTTAGGTGAGCTTTTTTGAAGTTCTTCAGGGTTTCTTAAGTTTTTATTTTATTTGGGGCGAAACTTGTACTCCAATAAATCTATTATAGTCTATCCATAAAAACAAAAATAAACATCTATTAGACTACATAATGTATGTGAGATATTTTTACTACCATTGGCTATGTGTGAAATCGCCAATGGTACAAGGCACTTATAATTTAAAGTTGTTTTGGTAAAATATTGGTGAAGTGTGTTTCTTTATTTCGCACTTTGATTAATTCTTGCATTCGTTTGATTTGGTCATTAGTGTGAGTTACTTTATTTTATTGCTACTATTCCCTCATGTCCATATTAGGTGTCCTAATTACTAAAGATATCTGGTCCAAATAGTTGACATTTCAGAAAATCAAGATATAATTAATTACCTTTTATCTATTTTGGCCCTTAGTATTAAAATATTCTTGAAAGAAAAAATATTGACTATTCCCTCCGGTCTAAAATAAGTGATTTTTTTAGATGTTTTCACACTGATTAAGAAATTCACCTTTTAACATTAATTAGTAATAAAATTGATCATATTAACCTTTACTATCTCTTCACATAAATATTCCTAGCACATACTCCAACACTATTTACTCCAAGGGCAATGTAGGAAAAAAAAATTAATTCATTCTTGAAATCCGGAAAAATCACTTATTTTGGACAACAAAAAAAAGCCAAAAAATCACTTATTTTGGACCAGAGGGAGTACATAGCATAAAAAACTTAGAAATGAAGAGTATTAAATAATTGTATAGTAGTAAAAAAAAAATCCTCTTATTAATAATTTCTTAAGGACAAAAGAGAAATAGGACAATTAAAATGGAGCGGAGGGCGTAGTGATTAGCAATATACCATATGGTGCTCGTGTTTACTTCGAAAGAATAAAGAACCATTTTATTGCTTGTCAAATTCTTATCAAGTAATAAAGCCATCGTCATGAAGCTTTAGGTTTTAAAGCTCATAAAGACATTCAATAATTGATGAGACAAAGATGATAGAGCTATGACTATGCAATAAAGTAAAATTGATTTGATAACTTATGTGAACAATAAAATTTAACTTATTATCCGAATATTAATTAATTATTTTTATTGAAATCTATCTCTAATAACCCTGTAAGGACTTGATTGTATAATACTTCTTACTCCATCGATACATGTAAGTATGTAACTTCCACTCAAACTAGTTTTGCAACAAATTTGCCTTCGAATAATTATCTTTATAGAATACTCATTTTAGTGATTAATTGTTGTATAGTAGTTGTTTCTTGATTTATTTAGTTGTTTGGTGACACACAACGACGAAGTTGTATTATATACGACAAAAAATTATTAGTAATTTTTGTTTTATTTGAAGTTTAGTTACCCCTACACTAGAGATGCAATATTGAAAGAAGCAGCTTTTAAAATTATACTACTAAAAGAATTTCGCGATTATTTATTTACTTGCTTGGAAGTACAATTTGGTCCTGATAAATTTAACTTTCAACTTACGATATTTTTCCTTTTACTATTTGTATAGTTTTTTTTATGGGTCCAAAGGAAAGCACTTACGTTAAAATTATATAATATTGTATTGTTTGTACTTATATCAGTAGCTAGTACTACTTTTTCAAGATTCCAACAACTATTTCTTTATTTTTTCGGAGATGTTCAATAGTTTTTTCATCTTTGTATTATTAATGTATTTATTTATATTCATATCTATCTATATCTATCTATCTTATTATATTAAAAGCACGAAGGTCCTTAGCGAAATATCGTTCGCTTTTTTATCCTTTAAAAATAAAGTTCACAGTGGATAAAAGTGTAATTTAAATATTTTCCAAATATGTAAGAATGATCATTTAATTATTTTTTTAATATCTAGGATATTGAAATCAACTATAATTCTGATTATTAAAATTTTCCATAGTTGAATTATGTAGAAAATCTTTATATTTAGGATTCTAAAAGCAATTAAATTTTATTTTATATAGGTTTCCTTATTTCAAGCCCATTAGATGTAGTAAACTATAAATTTTTATCATTCAAAACTTAAAATTTAAGTACTCATATTTGTACTATATTTTTTGCGTAGATTAGCACTTCTTTAAAGCTACTAAAAAGAGGTAAACATAAGTTATATATGACATAAAAGTGGAATACTCATTGTATTTGACAAAATTAAAAGTAACTGTAGATAAATAAAATTTTATTAAATTTAAATCCACAAGTAATTTGGATTTAATCATGTATTAAATATATATTAGTCCAAATGATACTATGGGCTAGTATAATCGGGTCGGTTATTTAAATCTAAAATAAATTGATTTAAATAAAAGTCCAATATATTATTGGGCTAGCCCGCAAATTGGTCTTCTATCAAATGGGTCGGCCCATAAGCCTCAAGCCCAATGATTCACTAGGGTTTTCTTGGAGATTACTCCACCCCACACCTATATAAATGGGTCAAAGGAGAAGACTAAAAAACAAGCAAGTAAGCAGAAGGAAAGGCTAAAGAGGCTCTGAAGAATAACATCAAGATCTCCATCCATATCTGCAATCGTCGTCTTTTGTCAAATTCCAAAGGCGAACTCAAGTCATAGGCGAACGACTTCAAATTTTCCGTTCGTGATAACCCAACACCAAATCCTGGTTCGTGACGAGCTTCAAATCGTTCGTGGCGTACTACAAATCTGAAATCCATCAAGTTCACTCTTGAACCATCATCCGTGAGGAGAAGAACCAGAGGACTACATCTCTTTAGATTTAGAGATATTTTAGTGATTGTAACCCCATCACTTGAAATTAAATATAATATTTGTCGCTATATTTTTTGTCTTGATTATTATTTTTCAAGAGCGAAATTTAGTTGTTACAAATTTTGGCACGCCCAGTGGGACTATCTCTACCTCTCATCTCTTCTCAACTCTCAACATTCAAGATCACTAAGATGGCTTCAAAGAAGATCGAAGTTGCTGACTCCAAGTTTTATTCTGACGTTGAAAGTGTCCTGAACATTACTATGGGGAGTCTTGGGCCAATCACCCGAGCAAGGCGAGCGTCTTAAGGCAACAAGCACTACAAGTGTCGTCTGCACCAATGCATGCTTTGAGATCTTCATCATTCGAAGAAGAAAGGTCCTCTTCTAGCAAGTCAGAGAGAGGATATAATATTGCAGAAGTTGTGGAGAAAGCTCTTGCTCAACCTACTTTATACAATACCAAGAGTCAGCTTACCCAACCTGATGATGAAGTCTTAAGTGTTGGTTCTACGCTAATCTCGCCACATGACATGTTCCAAACTGAGTTCAATCCGTGGGAAGGTCTCGGTTATTCTTCATCATCTGCAATAATCATGGAGGCAACGATGACTAACACCACGACAATGGAGGAGCAACTTGCAAACCTGACAAAGGCAATTGATGGGTTAACAAAGTATGTTCAAGATCAAGATGTCCGTATCGCAAAATTGACAGGCATAGTTGAAAGCATGATGGATGGAGAATCAAGTCATGCACCTGGAAAGCTTCCTGAAGTCCGCGAGAAGACTGATCCTCCAACAAAACAAGTGCCATCCACCAAAGAACTTCATGTCTCCTCTGAAGGATCAGTTCACATAGAACAATTAAAGGAATTCATTATGGGAACTATCAAGGATAAGTATGAGGTCACTTCAAAGTCTTCTCTCACGTACGCAAAGTCGTATACTACAAAAATCGATAGCCTGAAGATGTATGGCAGCTATCAACCTCCCAAATTTCAACAGTTCGACGGCAAGGGAAATCTAAAGCAACATGTTGTGCACTTTGTTGAGACATGCAACAATGCAGGGACTTATGGAGATTACCTTGTCAAGCAATTCGTCCGCTCACTAAAGGGGAATGCTTTTGATTGGTACAACGACCTCGAGGCTGGATCCATTGATAGTTGGGACTAATTGGAGCAAGAGTTTCTCAATCGCTTTTATAGCATGAGGCGTACTGTGAGCATGGTGGAACTTACGAACACTCGCCAACGAAAAGATGAACCAGTTATTGACTTTATCAATCGATGGAGGAATGCAAGCCTTAACTGCAAAGATAGGCTAAGCGAAGCTTCTGGCATAGAGATGTGCATCCAAGGAATGCATTGGGTACTTCGTTACATCTTGCAAGGAATTAAGCCCAAGACATTTGAAGAACTTTCCACCCATGCTCATAATATGGAGTTGAGCATGGCTTCTGCGGGAAACGAAGGGCTGCCCATCTACGAACCTCGCAAGGGAAGAGATAAGCAAGAAGTCAAGAAATGGAGCAAGTTCGTACCCAAAAATGAAAGCAAAGAATCCATGAACGTCAATGCCTCTCCTTTGAAGTTTACTACCAAGGCGAGCAAAAAACAGAGTATAAAAACAACTTCCTCTCAAGACAATGCAAATCGGAAGTTGACTCTCAAAGAGATGCAATAAAAGGAGTACCCATTTCTAGATTCCGATGTGCCTGCAATATTTGAAGAACTCCTCGAGTTAAAGCTTATTGAGCTGCCATAGATGAAACGACCAGATGAAGCTGAAAAAAGCAATGACCCGAATTACTACAAATACCATCGGCTTGTAGGTCACCCTCTTGAGAAGTGCTTTGTTTTCAAGGACAAAGTTATGTATTTGGCTCGTTAAAAGAAGATCGAGCTCGAAGACGAAAAAGCAAGCACAAACCATGTGTCCATTACCTTTAGCTCATTCGATCCGATTGAGATATGCATCTGTGAAGGGAATGAAGATGAAGAATTGTTGGAGGATGACAAAGTCCGAGTTGATCAACCTGATGAAGAAGGATGGACCCTGGTGACTCATCGAAAACGCCGTAAATTAAGTATGCAAAAAGGATCAACGAAGCAACCTACGAGGAATAAGATGGTGAGAAGACTAAAGAAGCTACAAATTGTTAAGAACCCAAAGAAGGTGGAGATAGAGACACACCATCACCAAAAGCCACGCCACCCGGTGACTTTGGGATAATTTTTTCCGAGTTGGTTTCGCACGAGGATTTCTGACGATGATGACAAGGCCTTGTGCTGTAATGCTGATAAAGAAGAAGAGGAAAAGAATGAAGTCAAGTCAGCACTCTCACCATCACTGTCTAATAGTCTTGTTGAGTCCTCTTTCTAAGAAGCAGATGTCTGTAATACAAAAATCACCTTCATTGAAGACGATCTCCTACTTGGTGAGGCACCACAC